AAGGAGGTATAATTCCAGTCCTCCAGATAAACAGAAAGAAGCGTGCTTGTAATATAGAAAACTTCCTGTGATTCATTTAAAACTGGTTTTTGTTTTGCCACCACTCCCTCCTGACGCTGCAGCCAGCCCTGCTTCCAACGACATTATCAGCACTGCTCCCAACTGCAGGCACACACATCCGTGCTCGCAGCCCGATGCTCCGAGGCAACCGTGTCGCCTTCCCACCCCGGAGACCGTGTAATATATTCTTAAGCAGAGGGGTGTCTGTCACTCGCCACGTGATGTAGGCAGCTGTACAGCTCAAACATTGACAACCGGTGTGTGTGCTGAAGGTCCAAAGTGCTGGATTCACTGTGCACAAGTAGAACTGCGCTCTTCGTGCGCACCGGAGATCCCTCTGCTCCCAGGAGCCGGGGGAGGCTATGGCCGTGGAGGAGCCTTTCATGCTGACTGTTCTGAGCCATAATATACATGTTTACCAATACATATTATGTAAATGTCTTCACAGCTTTAGAATACTGATAAATGCAATTTGTCAAAAACTTGTCTAAATGGTGGGAGAACTCCTTGTTACACCTGTCTGAAATTAAGACAGAATCCTCTTTCTCAAGTCTGGGGACTCTGCACCTCATCTCACATCTGAGTTGAAATCTTATGAAACGCTTTATTGTTCTTCATGTTATTTGTATTTTTCTCTCTCTTTTTTTTAATCATTTCAACTTTGCAAAGCTTTTGTGGGATAGCTTGTAGGCAAAAGAGCCAAAAGCTTCCAGCTGATGTTTGAGAGTGGGGACGTGTCTCAGGCCAGGCCCACCCGTCGCCCTCCACTTGACATACATTCCTCATACGCTGAGCTGTGACCAGATCAAAGAGAGGGTGGGTTTCTTTCATTTTGTTTTATCTCAGGGCAGTTCTGCCAGTCCTTGAGCACAGCTAGGTATTCTGTGACACAGCAAATCCTTCTTTCAAGGTACATTGTATTTGCAATGGTAAACCTTTTTGCTTTTAAGATAAAGGTAAACCTTTACATATGTATCACCCTTTGTCAATATATCTGATAATCCTGAATTGCTGGAGGTCAAAATTGATAAGATATGAAAAAACACAGCGCTAAAAAGTGTTTCCTTTTAGGATTCATTTAACAGTCTTTTTTGTTATTCTCTCCAACATGTAGAATTTCTAACGTATTTGTTAGGAACCTAAAACTTTTTAGAAGCACCTAAAGCCAAGAGTTCTAAACCTCTCATCCGCACAGGTTTGAAAATCTCTTCTGTGTGCAGTGAGTTCCTGATCAAAGGGACCCATCCAGTCTATACCTGTCACAGTTAAACTGGATCTCAAAATAGCTATCTATTGCTGAAAAGTGTTTTCAAAGATTAACAGTGACACAGACTGCACCTTTATCTGCAAGCTTGATTTTACACAAAAAGCTCCCAACCAAATTGAATGAAGAGTTGGTGCTTGTAGTTAAGAAACAACTCTTAAATTTGACCTCTTAATTATCTTTAATTACATGCAATGCAAAGTAAAACTAGCATTATTATTTTCATTTACAGCATTAGCTGATTGAGGTCCTTGAATGTCTAGTATCTGTTCATGCCAAGAGAACAACTAGAGAATACACATTATTTGGTAACGCGGTCCTGACACAGATGCGTTGTGAAGAAAGAAGGCTGTAGTTATGTGCCTGAAGCAAGAGCTGTCTACGTTGGGCAGTAGCCTCTACAGTAGCCTCCAGTTCCTAGATACTCTCAGGGGTGCTGCACTGATAAGTTCCTATCACAATGAACCTGTTTACTTGGAATATTGTGTTAAGTAAATAAAAGTATTTGAGAGCCAGACAAAATATTTGAGAGCTAGTCACGCAGATTCAGGCAAAATGTTAAGTGTATAAATGCCCTTCTGTGCCTCACTTCCCTTGTTGCTCTGGAATGGCCTTCAGGCTTGAGTTTGAGACCCTTAAGATTTGCAGAATCCTCTTGCTATAGGCTTTGCTATCTGCCTCTCATCTTTTCTACTGTCTCTCTAAAATTACCAGTCAGACAGCTCTTTGTAAAACTTGCCAGTTGTAGCCCATTATATGGGCTAGCACTTCAAGAAATCTCAGCCTCTAGTTAACTGGACAGACAGGTTTTTGCAGCTTGTTCAACTTCATGGGTCAAAGGGGATTCCACTTGAACTGGAGATCATCCATGCTTGATGACTTCCTACACTTACCACTCACTATACAGTGCACTGGTTTTCTGCTTACTCACAGTCTTGATGCAAGTTAAATTGTCCGGAGGCAACAAACTAAATATTCTAGCAACTCCTACAAGAGCTATGTAACTTTAAAATTGAAAAAAAATTAATCAATTCACCTAAAAATGAGCAAATGAAAAGCAAACTGTTCTGGGTACTGGTAGTTATACATTTTGAGGTGGGTTCTATTTGTTTGTGGGTGGGGTTTTTTTAAAGACCAAAGTGACAATATAAAATAAAATCAATCATGTGGAAAATGAAACAGCCTTTTTTAAAATAAAGCCATAATTTTCCTATTGTAAAGATATATTAATGTCAGAGATGAACAATAAGCAATATTCAGATCTAAATCTACAGTTAGATTTTTTTTTTTTTTTGGAGGGTCCTATCTCAAACAATAAATATGGGAAGAAAACTGATGCTTACATGCATTTCTAATGAAAGGCTGGCAAGCCTTTTTGAAAAGGACACAAACACTTGCAAACAACCATTCTCCCCAAACTAGAACTAAGTCATTTGAATCTCTTCTCATTCTTTTCATTCCTCATTACTTTTCATTTATAGACACTGCCAGGTGCCAGCTGGGGCACAAGACAGACATAGTGAACTGCAGAAGATGGCTATTTGTGATGTTTCAAGCATAACCAGAGCTGAATCTATCAGGGAAAAAAAAACAAACTCCACAGAAAAGCAGAAGTTATTCTGAGTCCTTCACCCCAGATTTGCAGATTTAATGTATTGGCTTACTTTAGATAATGATCCAGTTCTCAGATGTAGTGCATTGTTGCAGGAAATCTCAAAACATTTTGCTGTGCACCTGTTTCTCACACCTATAAGTTTGTTTTTTGTTTTTTATATCAGCATGTAACGCTTTATCCTTTTGGTGTAAATTAATAGTATGAGTTTTGAGCAAAAGTTGAAGATGTGCTTGTGAATTACTTGTCAGTTATTCTCACGATTCTTTTTTTTTTTTTCTCTGAGTTGAACCTAAAAAGAATAGGTTGAATTGTTTAATTAAAATTGAGCAAAGATTTAGGCTCTAGGAATATATTATTTCAGCCCTGTAATACAACAACATGGAGTATCCTGCTGTGACAGGCTAGGTCATGGGTCTGATACTTAAAATATGGAATATCCTTCCATTCCAGCTGACATAATGAAAGGATCAGATTTTTCTTCTGTTAATAAACATTGTTAAGACTAAAATTAAGCTTTATTATTTCAGGATTCCAAAAGCTGACAAGTACTTAGTTATCTGTCCTTTTTAAGCAAGTCTCATAAAGAGGGATTAATTGTCACTAACTACCACAATTGCTCTAAAATCAGTAGCAGAGGTAGGAAGGTCCCTCTCAGCATAAGCCCAGTACTCTACTGCTACCTGATGTCTTGAGTGGCACGTGTCTGCTCAGCCTGTGCCACGCACTGCAGGCAAGTAATCACATGATGTTAGTGCAGTTGCTTCATGATTTTGTTTAGCTAATTCTTATCTAATTCCATTTTCCTTAAATAAAGTTTTTTTTCATTTTTAATAAACATCTGCAATTAGTAATGATGAAGCTGGAAGCTCTATATGTTATTCAACCTTCTGCATACTAAGGTTTCAAGTTTAAAAAAAGCTTTAAAAAAGGAAAGAATACTTTGATGTTTGTACTTGTCTTTTTGTAAGCAAAGTTTCCAAGAGTCTTTTGGTAGCCTCACTGCGCATCAGAGATGAGGTAGGCAAGACTAAAATGTGGAATGACGTAGACAACTTATAATGAAGAATGGAAGGCAAAAAAATATTTAAGCCCTTTTTAAAAAAAAAAAAAAAACAAACAACCAAACCAAAAAAAAACCAACAAAAAAACCCCCACATTGCTTTCCTTTATTGGTTATGATAAAATCTTCAGTTCAGGTCTAATAAAAGATACTTAGTTTAGATGAACAGGAAGAACATAAACTCTGTGAAGAAACTAAAAATATATATGCATTCTATAGAAGTTTCTAGTATGACCAGACTTCCAACAGGTTTCACCTGACATTGACTTGATTTTAGTGGTGTGTTTGGTTTTTTTTAAAGGAGAAGGGATGTATGATTCTAAACGATCCTCGCTGAGTGAAAAATGAGATATTTAACTCAAATTGCCTTGATTGCAAGTAAAATTTTAATAAGGTCAGTGCAGCTGATGAATAAAAACAATCTTTGATTCCAGGTATCAGTCCATGTAAGTGGAGTCCTGAGATCACGAGTTTTTACAACTCAGTCACAGATACTCTGATCATTTCTCAGATGGCCTGGGCCCAGGAATGTATAATTTTCCCCCCTCCTATTGTAAGTGCAAACACTGTGGGAACGAGGTAAAATGTCCACTGATAAAACGACTCGTGTAAGGTCAGAAATCGGAGGGCATTCCCACTATAGCTGTGGAGTGTTGTAAAGTCAGTTCTGAACAAAATGTTAACACTGAAATATTATAAACTATTAATTTAGGCAATGATGTTCTTTCCTCATACACTTACTCTTAAATCAATTGTTTAAACAGCACTTAATTGTATTAAGGAGAAGGATAACACAAATCATGCCAGAGCTCTGTTAAAAAGGGAGGGAAAACTTCATACACAAATCATTTAGCAACTGAACTACTTATTGAACATACATTAAGCATTTTTGATGTGTGAAATGTTACTGGAAATGCATTTCCTGTATTTTTCTTAATTTATATAAATGGGTATTCAACCACATGGTAATTTTAATGCTGGCTCTGTTTAATATCTTACAGGAAGCTTCAAAAGATGGTGCATGACATCAAGAAAAATGAAAGTGGGATAATAAACAAGTTCAAAAAGTAAGTTTGAAATGCCAATCCTAGTTTTATCAATTTGGGGAAGTTCAGATTGCTAGCATAGTGTATAGTACTTCAGTGATAGGACCATGTTATCTACTTCAATGCATGCAAAGAGCTTCAGTCCAGACTGTAGCACGTAGAATTGTCATCAGTATTAAGAGTATCACAAAGTAGTTGCAGAACTGGCCTCCAGTGGGAAGTTGTGTTTGTAGCCCTGAAAAACAGTATTTGGGTAAAATGTGTTTTTCTTACATATTATTTGGGAATTATCACTGCTGCTGCTTTGGGTGTGTGCCTTTCTCCTCAGGCCACTGTTTAGGCTACCTGCTGCAATGAGGTTTTAATTTGAGCTCCACCTTGACCCAACTGGTCAGACACCATAGTTAGAATTCCCATAAAAATGCTAAGTCCTCCTGTGTTTCAGTCCCATAAAACAAACCCCAGCATTACCCAACATCTTTATTCCAGTAAGAATTGCTAAACAGCATGCACATTAATGTCACGTGCATATCGGTATCATAAAATATTCATGCGTATTTATACATAGAAAGAAATTCCAGTAATTCTGCATCCTTGTCAAATGAATACACCATTCACTGTTTCCAGTCAAACATCTATTTAAACCAATTAGCTATTTAGCACACTTTTTCTTTTTCTTAATGCAGCAGCTCATTTGCATTTGGATGTGATTTTCCTCATTCAGATGTCTGTCTTTTACATGGGTCACTGACGACAAAAGTACTTTTTAAAGTTAATTAGTACACAGTATGTGCAGTGTTTCCAGGATGACCACACTGAACTCTAGAAATACAGCTCTTGTACATAAAAGGCACATATAAACATTGTTTAAAATTGTTCTTAAAGAGTGACCATGATGGCTCAGATCAAGGAAAAGAAAAAGCAGGGTTTTAAGAAGAGCTAATACTAGGTATATGTGAGGCGGTCAGTAGGCTGGTGGGAGAAGCAGTAGGGCTCTGCTTGGTTTGGCTATGCAAGAGCTGCGGAAAGCCGGGCTGGCTACAGCTACGGCCCCCGCTGCCAGCCCAGGCAGGGCTGGTGTTCGTGGGGCAGCTGCTATCCCTGGCAGAGGAAGGGGATACACTTCCAAAAGCAGCAGCCACCACCTGGCGCACCCGTTCCCCAGGCAGGAGAAGCAACCTTAAGCCACAAGCCCTCCTCTGCTTTACCGCGGCTGGGGTGTGATAAACCTTGAGCAGGCTCTGATGGTAACAGCTGACAGATCAGATTCTTGAGATCACTTTTTTCCTTTGCTCATCCTCTTTCACTCTAGCACTGCTGCAATTCGCAGTAAAACAGTCTCACGGGGTATATGTACTTGTTATTTCCACGCAAGCACAAAAGTGAATTTTCCCTTACAATGACCCTCTTTCAACTACTTGGATCTTTAACACAGTGTGTATGTAAGCAGGCTGCTGTGTTCAAAGATCTGACTGCGAAAAACTCGGTTTTGCCTGGGACCTCCTCCCAAGGAAGAGCAGCTAGGCTGTCAAGGCTTTTGGTGGGTTTTGGAGGGCAGCAAGGTGAGGGGGATTGGTTTTTGTTGCTGTTGTTTCTTAATTTCTTAATTAGCTTCCCACTTCACAGCAGTGGTTTAAGTGTAGTTAATGTTAATAACGTTGCAGTGGGTCCAGTTCAAATGCCTCAGAGAGGAAAGTAGATGGCAGAAACAATAGAAGTATCTCAAGTTTACAATGTGAGGCAATAAATTGTCTCCCGTAGTTGCCTGGACATGAATTCTGCTCTTAATCAGTATTGCTCTGTGTCCTTCCCTGAGAGGAAGAGGGGAAGGACAGAGACGGGAAAAATAACAAGAACTAAATGTAGCTGAAGCTGGGAAGGTTAGAGGTGCCATCATTAAATGTCAGATACAAGACTGCTGCAATTCTTTGATTCCTTCAAGATTAAAAAAAAAAAAAAAACAACCACACACAAAAAAAGAGCAGGCTCATAAAAACTCTCTTATTGTATGACTGCAGCACAAAGCTCACATTTCACCTCCCCCAGATATAAGAATACAAATTGAGATGTTAAAAAAAAAAAAAATCTTTCTGATACTTCTATGGTTCATCTAAGTCACATTAATCTCTTCTGCAATTATGAAGACCAGAAACGTTTTTTTGAAAAATTGAAGAAAAAATTCTCCCATTTGCACACGACTTCAGAACTCAAATCTTGAACTCAGCACTTAATGAGACTTGCAATAAAAGCATGAGTTGACAGCACTGATTAGGATATGTACAAGAGAAGCCAAGCTTTGCAGAATTAGAACTGGATGTATTCTTCTGAATGTGCCCTTTGGGTGCTTTTTGTTTGTTTTTAGTAGATGCTTTTTCTAAAAAATGCAGCTATGCAGTTGATCACTTCCTTCATTTCAGTTACAGAATTATATCATTAAATGTCAAGTATCTAAACATGACTGAAGCAGGAAAAATTGTATACAAAATTAGCTTTATGTAGCATAGATTTGGAATTTGTCTATATGCTGGAACATACATCATTTTGTCTCAAATTGAAACCTATTATAAATAGAAATAATTTTAGAGAAGATAAATAGTGTACTTGCTTATCCCAAGCCTGAAGTTGTCATGTATGTATACCGTAAGCCTCTCTTACTGAAATAGAAAGAATGATCAAATACTCATGAAATACATTTGACTTATACCAGTATTTAAGACACTTCTAAAATCTGGATTGGCTCTTGATTATGCAGAAAAAGCAAGAGAAGTTCTTGCGTCAAGTGTCTTGCTCTCCAACCTAATTCATCTGCGGGGTGCAGATGGGGAGGGGTATATCTACCACCCACGTCTTAAAGGTCTGCGGAAAGCAGTCTGAACAGTGGTGATAACAGGAAAGAAAATTACAGATTGCTTCTTCATTGCTTAAAAGTTCCTGTTGCTTATTCCCCATCCTGACTCAAAAGTTTCTGACAGTAAAACTATTGCCCACTGCAAGCCGCCATATTCACCTGCTTGCCCTTAATCACATGCAAAACTGTTTACAATACAAGTCCCAGCTGCTGTGCGGATCGTGGTGTCAAAGAGGATTATGTGGTTGGGTGTAGAAGCAATAGGTATAGACAGAGTTGTATAAACAATGAGAGCCGGGGGCATTTTTTTCATATTCATATCCTTGGTAATACAAAACAGGAAAGAGAGAAATCAGAGGTTTCACCCTGCAGGATGGTTGCTTATGCTTGAAACACACTGTAAAGACATAGCGCTCGTCTGTAAATCATAAGCTTTAAGCCTTTAGGCTTTGTTCAGTGGAATCCTAGCTCCGTTGAAGTCGATGCTAAAAGTCTTACTGCATATACAGCAAAGTCAGGATTTCGCCCTAAAGTTTTGGTACATGCTGACCTACTGTATTGAATAAGAAACTAGAAGTTTGGGTTACTCGCTTTGTTGCAACATCACATCCTATCAAAACTTCCTTTGCACAGCCATCAGAAACCATGCACTTGTAGTTATTTGTCTAACTGCACACAATCCAAATATGCCCACTTCTTGAAATCACATTCGCTTCGTGACCTGAAAAATGGAAAGAAGATGCACCTTCATCTCATCTGCTTTACCCAGCTTTTTAGTTGGGTAAGTTTTTACTTTGGATTTGTCTGGTCCATTTTCCTATACCATTTATAACTTGGGTGGTAACTTCAGGCAGAAAAATGGAGTTGTGTCACTGAATGTCTCTTCAACCTGCATAGCTGCAATTATGCAGGTTGAAGAGACACAGCACTATGTCAGAAGATGTCCATGATCAAGCCCTTGGCAGAGGGAAAAGTGGTATTTTATGGACTAAACAATGAGATAAAAGTACTAAAATCAAGCTGTACCACACTTAGAAAGCAGGGAAAAGTATAATACCTAATTTTAACTGTATTCTGAAGAAACATGAATTTCAATGCATAGCTGAATAGAATGTTTTGAGTGCCAGGATTTTTATTACTATAACAATGCTTCATCAAAGTGAAGATAAATAAATCTTGGCTATATGCCATTTCACTGCCACAGCACATTGTAAAGAAAATGTCTGAAAGAGTAGTAATAACACTTTTTTAATAAAAATTTCTGATTTAATTTTATTTCATATGATCATCAGATACTTCCAAAGCTATAAAGAGACTATTCCACTAAGTCATGAGAATACAGCCCAGGAAATGTTTATCTGTCAGCTGGATTGCACCTGTTAGGAATTATGAAAAGGTTTTTTACAAAGTTCAATTAATTTATCTTTTAATCAGAAGTGTGATGACCTAGTGCACTTAGGACTAATACAGACTATAAATAATCAACTCAATAAAGATGTCAATATGATTTTTGTAAATCCTACTAACCAAAAATGGTTCCCAAGAAGGGATTGGACTCTGTACAGAGTTAGCAACCGAAAAAGTGAAGGACTCTTGAAAACAAAGAGCTTTTAGGCACATCTTAAATGCTGGGAGAGTGAGCAGAAAGACTAGTGAGAAATGCATCTGTAAGAGTGCTATGTGCAAAGGGTTCCTACTGTGTATGTTTGGTTACTTTTCTGGATGCAGCTGGGGCAGGGGAAATGTTGCTAGAGCAGAAAATCTGCTCTGCTGCAATTTATTTTAAAATTCTCCATATAGTGCAGGAAAACACAAAAATGTGATATTAACTCTAAGTATGTGATTAATACTTGCAATTCCTACAGTATTCCTTACATGAGCAAAATTAAGCACATGCCTAAATGTTTTGCTGGATCAACCACAGCATGCTGCGGAGGGAAAATCTCAGAATACATTGGTTTTAAAATGAAGTAGATTATTCTCCTAGAAGTTATTGTGAATTTCTGTACACTGCATTCTGTTCTTGTGTGAGCAGCGTCCAGATCCCATTACGTGAAATGTCTCAAATTCTACCTAGTTATTTGTTGAAGCTAAAATGTATATAGCAAGATGTAGCTTTTAAAAACCCGTAAATATACTCTTAAAAATGTACCTGGATTTTATTGAGTCCTTTAGAACTGAAATTTCTCAGGCATATTTCAAATTCTCCAGAAAATGGCTTATTTTCTAGTAAACTTTAGAAAAATGTTGGTCCCGTTAAAGCAAATGGAAACTTGAATTATTTAATTGTGTTCTATCACAGCTAACACAGTGATACATCACCACCTATAACTTAAGCCCAGAGTGGAATAGCACTAGAATATTTTACTTGGAAGTTGCATTTGCTACAATTTTATATACGTCTGTCAAAAGATATGTTAGGAAATAATTCTGTCTTCTACTTAAATATATATGCTCAGTTGAATGGCATTTGATTCCTTAAGTCCCTTGTCATTAACTTCAGGGGAACAGCACAGACTCATTTGTTACTCTGCAAGCATCTATGTGTATAATAACATCAGGATCTGGAATGGCTACGTAACCACCCCTTGGCATAGGGGTTACGTCTTTTGAGCTTTCATTGTAATTTGTACATTGGGTAAGTTCTGGCTCTTGCAAAGCAAAGCTCCAACTGACTTCAGAAGAGCCTGGATTTCAGTTCTAGCACTTGGTAAATCTCACCAGTATAGAGAGAGTTATTTTTTTAAGTGGATTTGAATTTTAGAATAAATAACATATTTGAAGAAACTCTTAACAAATATAGATGTGGCCGTGAACTGTTTCAGCTCTGTGACAGAAACATGATTTCTTTTCTTCTATTGATATTCAGGTTCCAAAATGAGCAAGTGGCCTTAATTTGCAAAACTGGGAAAGATACTTGGGATAGGTATGCTATTTCAGAGCCGCACAATGGCATGATAGGCTGCTTAGACACAGACCTCTGTTCTGTGCTTCGTATGCTTTCATTATAACATATTTACGTTTTCTGGCAGGGCCACTGCCAGGATTTAGAGGGCCTGGGACGAAGTGTTGAAGTCTTCTGCTTGGCAGTGTGGAAAAGTATCATGTGGCTTAGGCCACGTACTTTGTACTGTGTCCCAGACAGTCTCTTACTATTGCCTCGGTTCCACTATTTTGCAAGTCTCCACTGTCTCCGAACAAATCATGATGGACTTGTTGCAAAGTACATTAATAGACTTTGGTCCACCCCTCCTAGGACCCGAGACCTGCCCTGGCGGTGGCCCTGGATTTTTCTTTCTAACATGCCTGTGCTAACCTGGACACAAGACAACAGCAGGGCTGTCAGGAATGCTTTTTAATTTACTGTTTGTACATTAAGTTTGTACATCCATGCTGCAGGAAGTTAAAGACTCAGAGGAGGCAGCTATCCATCAGTAGTGTTGTTAGTAATGAACAAAGCAGGTAAACGCTTCAAAAATAATGTGCCTACGTTAATTATTTGGTTGGGCGGGTGGAGCTTTATCAATGCCTGCAGCATTCATTCATTGATCCATGCACATGCACTGGGGCGTTTTTTGTGACTATCTGAACAACAGAATTCCATTAATTCAACTCAAAAGTAGCCAAAGCATTTCTCAAAACAGATGGGAGAAGTTTGTAAATGGGTATGTTAGGGCCAGCATGCCACCACCCTGAGTTACATTGGTACCTGAACAATGATACCTAAGCAGCGTGCTCAGGACCTAAATACTGAGTGTCAAATTCCTGTGGTAAAGCAAAATTTGTAGGCATCACTATTGCTCAGAGATCACAAGAAAACATTTTAAATTCTTTGTGGACTTTTTTTTTAATAATTTGCTTATTTTTGCAAATGAATTTGTTACAACCTGATTGAAGAATGAGCGAAACCTTCAATTCAGTGGATAAAGATTCAGGTCCGTGGTGAGGTCTCAGCAGTGCTACAGCGAAGCTGTGAGACAATGTTCAAAAGTCACTTTGAAGAGCCATTTTAATGTAAATTGTGTTAATGTTTTATATGGCTAGAAAAAGCAAAGCGTGTTGGTTTTTTTTTTTCTCTTCAGATGCATCAGTCTGGCCTCTGATGTTACACATGCACTGTTCACTTTGACTGTAAACACAGATTCTTCTCTTTTTTTTTTTTTTTTTTTTTTTTTACACAGGGTAATGAAATAATTGATATAACAACTGACTGTAACTCACTGTCTCCTCCGGACAGCTGTAATTTAGCAAACAGAAGTATACATATGTATATACATATATGAACAGGAGCACACACATATATTACATATAACGTATATTCCTGTTTGCTAAATATATATATACACACACATGCATATACATATGTATATTTATAGCCACAAAGATCCTTTCAGTATTTCTACAAATTATCTTTTGATTCACTTGGTATTACAAATGCCATTCTAACAGTATTTACCAAAAACGGGGCATAAGACCATAAAATAATAGTAAGTGGTAACAGAATCTGGCCCTGAGAGACCTGGTATACTTTTAAATATTAATCAGAAATAAAGTGCATGCAAAATGAGAGTTATAAAAATACAGCTGGAGAGTCCTGCACCATTTTCTTATGCCATAGTCTTAGCCAAAGTCTCTGTGAGCCTGAACAGATTTTCATCTGCAGATAGATGTGTATTTATCTCTGATGCCTATGTTACCTGTTTCTGCATTGGAAATGAAGAGGAGGGTGGGTGGGCAAGGAAGTTGTTCTTTCAAAACATGTTCTTAGAGAGGAAAAAAAAATAATCTTAGATTAGATCCTAATTTCTTATCTGTTTCTAGCTTTTCAAAGCATTCTCCTGCAGCTACTTGCTAAGCATCTATGATGGTAATCTGTATTTCTTCAGCTGCAGGTATCTTTTGTTATCAGCTTTTTCATGTGTCTGGCTAATGCTCCCTTCTAGTGAATGTTACTTATTAGATCATAAATGTAATAATTGCTGTTTACAGGCTAAAAAAAAAACCTCCACCAAGTCTACCACAAAGGGATTATGCTTCAGGTAAGGCTGTATTAATGGACATCTCAACTGCATGTCTGTGTATATTTGATACCTATAAGCCTAACAGTATTTCAGCTATATGTTTCCTCATAATTTGTTTTTAATGAGAACAATATAGTGGTATCAACAACTCTGAAGGTAGTTCGCACCTCTGAAATGAGAGGCAAGCAAAGTATGGCAAGTTGTCCCACTATGAAGGAAGAGTAGCTACTCTTTCAAAATCTGTATTTACCAGGGTTCTGCATGTAGGCTGCTCTAAAGATGGAGAATTTGCACCCAGTCCTTCTCCGCCAGAAATTGTGATGTGAAAGTAAATAGGGAAAAAATTGAACAAATGGATCATCACAGAAGCCAGAATCTTAATGCTATTAATGTGACAATGTTGATGTCATAAACTATCGTGGAGGTAGAACTGTATTTGCTTATCATACAGCACTTGCCCACAAACTAGTTCATACCAATTTTTTTCAAGTTAACAGCTATCTTGTTAAGGAAACAAGAACATGAAAACTGAAGCAAAGAGGACAGAGTTTGGAAGTTACCAGATAATTGTTCCATGTTTAATGTAAACACTTGTAATTAGTATGCTGTCTTGGAGCTCTAACTGAGAAACAAGAAAGTGCAAGGCCCAGAGGTCAGTGATAGATCCGTTACGTAGAAATTGTTACTCCTACTTAGAAATGAGATGCAGGACATTCTGAGTAAAGTGCATGCTCTGCTGTTCACACCATGTGCAATTTGCCATTTTCTAATGTTTTCCAACAGCTCTGAAACAAGTTATCAAAAACAAGCAAGCGGGCATTTAATTTATTATTCAGTCCAAACCAGATCTGTTGCTCTGAACAGTTTAGGAAGGTTTTATCACTTTTTCTTTTAATTGACTATGATAGATTTTTTTTTTTTCAATCTATACTTAAGATAAACATTTACATTCACTATTCCATCTCTGTAAATAACTCTAATGTTTTGTTTAGAACACGCAGACAATGAAGAGGAACAATGGTCAGATGATTTTGTAAGTACATATTTTGGGATAGTAGAAGGTTACTGTGGCAACAAGTTCAGCACAAGCAATACTAATAGAAGTTTATTTTTTAATCATCTGCTTGTGCTTAAACTTAATACTACTGAAATGTTATCTTATTTTTTACATAGGCATTATTTATAAGTAGCCACTGATTATTTTTTTTTAGCTACCTCAATTTTTTTTACATTCAACTTAGAAGTACACTCAGAAGTACTGCCAGTGGTAGCCATGGATGATAGGCTGTTTGGATAAGTAAGTGCATGGCATCAATTTGAGGGACTTCTTAAACTGAATAATAATTTCAGAAACCAGTAAAATCATCTATTTGGGGGAAGAGGGTGGGAGGGGGGAGGAGGGGAAAGCCACTTCTTCCTAAAAATGAAACATCTATGATAAGATCTTAGAGAACATTAGAATGAAGTAAGTCATGGTCATCAGCCATGTAAAGTAATTGCCATACTGTACAACCATCAGCCTGAAGTGACTAGCTTCGTTCAGGAGTTAGCTCCTGAGTACCCTTTTAATAGAGAATGGAGAGGAAGTGGCAGGACACATCAGGAGTCACAGCTGGAACTAGGAAGGTACTGCCCTGTGAAGGGAACCAACCTGTTGGTCCATAATTTGAAGACTGAGCTCTTGGTGTCAAAAGACTCCTTGGAGACAGCAAGGAGATGGGGAGCAGGAAGCTCCTGAGAGGAGCAGAAGGGGAGGCAGGCAGCAGTGCCTATTTGTTTGGTGAGGGAGCATTAAAAAGCAGTGTAGCGTGTCCTGTCAAGGATACATTCTCGTAATTTAGTTAAGTGTACTCCTGCAAGGACATCTGTGTCACACACTGCTATGAAGCCATAAGTATGTTATGAGATGAGAAATGGGAAGTTCTGCCTTTCTAGGACAGTGATTATGAAAATCCAGACGACCACTCTGACTCTGAGATGTATGTGGTCCCCAGTGAAGAGAATCCTGACGACAGCTATGAGCCGCCTCCAAGTGAGCAGGAGAAAAAGAAGATTCCCTCCGCATTCCCTATTTCAAGGGGTGAATACGCAGGTAATTATGGAATAGTTGGCTATGTCAGCTTGATAATTGTTCACTTATCACTACCAGAAGAGAAGTGGCCTCAAATTGACTAACCTGTCCTTTCCTCAATAGTTTCCTTTAATTCTGACAATCAGGTCTTCAGCTTTCAGGGGTATGATTTGTTATTACAGCATGAAACGGGCTAGTATTGCTGGTAGTGATGTTTAGAATTTTAATATAATGTGTCCTAGAGACTTTGATAGACATACGCTAACTACAAAATTCAAGCAAAGGTAGTGATATCTCCCATAACTTGTCTCCAGATTCATCCGTGTATTTTAATGCAGGAATTCGTATTGAGGATTAAGCACATAAGACTAGACAGGTCCCTTCTTAATATTTTCTGTATCTCAAATCATTATTCCAAAAGCAATAAAACAGAAGACAATGCAGCCCAAATATTCATTCCATATTGTCCTTCAAGATAGGCACTGAGGAGGATAAATTGCCTGAAAAACAGGACAGGATCAAGATTTTATTTACATCAGTCCAGCATAAAGGCTTTTTTTTCTTCCTGCTTTGATTCTTTTCAACCATGGGCAGATCGCACTAAAGTGAATGAATGTTAGCTTCAGTTAGATGAAGATTTGAGCTGTGGGGAAAAGAAACATTGGCATGATGCCTGCTTTCATTTTTGTACGATACAAGACTGTTACTGGTTATAGAATAACCAAAGTGCTAAAATGTCACGTATGTACTCATAGAAGATTACCAGCACTTCACTTACACCTTCTTTGAAAAGGGGAGGGGTTTTTAAAATGACGCCCCAGAGCACCTGGCATAATTTGTGTTTCAGTCCCACCCTTTGTGCTGTGTTAACAGTTGTTTTTCTCCTATGTCAGATATGTTCTTTCTCACTTCCTAGCACCAAAGTTCATACTGGCACAGGACATACTAACCAATGGACCCCACCACCTTTTCCCCAAGGAGTTAAACAGCTGCTCATACAACAGTCAGTGTCTAAGCACCCTCTGCAGCCTGATACAGAGGGCTAGGTTGCTACCTTGAGCGATGAAATAGGACCAGTTTGCACACAAGTCTCAACGTCAGGACCAGCATACGCTCAGGTCTGCCTTTTGACCTGAGCTGCAGCCACAGTAAAGACTTGTTTGCACAGGTAGTAGAAGACAGTCCAGAGGCTAATGTGTCATTTTTACTAAAACTGTTTTCTTCCATGTTAAAAGACAATCGCACCAGTCACCAGCAGCTTCCTTCCATCAGCAAACCTCTCCCAAGTACACCCAGTCCAGCCATGTCCAGACCAAAGAAACCATCCATGCCATCCCTGCCATTGCCATCTCTTGCTACAAAACCAAAAGTACCACCGAAGCCTAAGGAGTGTAGTGATGATGAGGTAATGTTTATAGATATACTTGTTTTGACAGTTTAAATGACTGATGACCCCACACCAATTATAAGATAGACTACACAGCAGTGCCATGGCCTGGTCTCTTTCTTAGCCTCTGGTACAAATCATTTTGTACATCATAAGCAGTGACCTGCGAGTGTCATGCTGATTCCCAGGGGATAGTTGCCTACTTCAAGTATCAAGGAGGCTCTTTAGACCACAAAATAGTTTCTGCTCATCTGTAACAAGCTGCAGACAATGGAGGGAGAGCAACCTCAAAGGCTACCCCAGAACCAAAGGGAAGGGAGGGCTTTTATCCACCAGTCTAGAACTGGAGTAATTTGGTAAAGGTTTTTCAGTCTTGGGGAATCCCACCCACATAGGATGACAAATGTCTGAAATAGCAGTCACTGTGAAATGGCAGCTATTGTAAACTGCTGCCAGGCCTTCAATTCCAACGGTTTGTTGAGACGATGGAGGTTTAACTGGTAGATTTTTGTCCTACATTTCTCATAGGATAATTACATTGTGCCAGTGGACAATGACGACGATAACTATATTGAACCCACAGAAAGCAGCACGCCACTACCTACAAGATGTGAGTTTTAGTCATTTAAGCTAATAATTTTTGCCTTGTTAGGAACAACAGTGGAAAAAAAATGGATCAAATTAATGTCTGTTCCTAGGTTTCAAAGAGTGGAGGTGCAGCTATTAAAGACAATACAGCCTGCAAAAAAGCAGTTGGCTCCTTTGGCCAATGATAAGGCCAAGGAAAATTATTTTTAACTTTACTGGAAGCCATGTTTAATTCCTGCCCCTCTCACTCAGCTGTTTCAAAGTCCAGCCCTCGTACAACCAGGAAGCTTTTCATGGTATGTGATCTCCCTCATCATCCAAGGGAGCCACGGCATTAAAATTCTCGGTTTGCTGAAGTGCCTCAGGAGAAGAACAAGCCTTTTCAGATTTGCCATAGATAAAGACAGACTTGGATTAATTATTTTTTTACCTCACTATTTGAAGTATATTTAGCTGGTGAGTAAAACTACTACAGTCCAAAGGTGAAAAGTAAACAGAGAAGAGTATTAAGTTCTGCGCTCTGACATTACTGACAGTATCAAACCTATTCAGCAAGGCATGAACACTGGATGTTGTTTCCTTTTAAAACGAGAGCTGCTTTCTGCCTTGGCTGATTTGTTCAAGGTCACGCAAAAAAGGCTATCACTTGGACCTACTTAATTTTTATTCTTATTGTATAAAAGTTACATTGTTATTTTTTAATACATATGTGTGTGTATATATATTTCTATATATAAAAATATGTGTATATACACACATGCCCAAGTATATATGTATATGAATAAAATGTTTTTAGCTCCTGTGAACAGATTTATGAAGACAACAAAGTCAGCTCCTCCTACTTCTCCAAAGCCTTCTCTTACTTCTGATATACAAGGTATGTGGAGTTTATATCACTGAGTAATCAATACTGAGGAATATTAAATTATGCTTGATGTACTCACAGCACAAACCATATGACATAATTCAGTAAAACAAAAATATGTTTGCTTTTAGGTTTTTCTGTGTTGTAGCAGTTGTTTTGCCTAGCTTGAATAGTAAATCTGTTTTAAGTATGAATAAAACTAGAACAAGTCATTTGCCCCAAAATAATTTATTTTTAGTCTTATGCTCTAGCGGAGGGACACAAATGGATCAATACAGCAAAAACAATCATAGGACTTGGTATGTTAGTAATCCCATCTCACTATAGGAATCAAGACTCAATACTCTAAAACCACATCAAGATTCAACCTTAAAGAAATTCTGTATATGCTGATGTTTTGCATGTCCTGTAATAATAGTGTTCCCATTTAAGCTCTATAAAGAGCAATTTATTTGGAAAAAGAAACAAAAGCAGAAGCAAACAAGAGGAATCATATTTGCTTTTGTAAGTGCAGATATACTTGCTTAATCTTCCTTAGCTGTGCTAACTCCAAACTGTTTTGCATCCTCATCATCTCATTAATTGCTTGGAATTTAACCTTTATAGACTGATCACACAGTTCTTTAGAAGTCTTTGCATATTCATTAGCAATGTGTTTAGCTTTCAGGTCGTAAACTACAAAAGTTTTTCTTCTGAATGACTTCAGATTTTGTGAGTTACTTTTCAGACATTTCAAAATGCCTTTTTCAATCTTAGCCCTTCTGTAAATCAGTGTCGAGCAACAATCAGCTCCTCACAGATGTTACTAAAAAAATAAAACATCTCCCCCTGGTGGGAACTCGGACTCTTGTCAGCCTAATAAAATCGATGAAGCCTGACATGAAATATGATTCCATTTTCATTGAAGATACTGAACATAGATAAGGATGCTGGTGGTTTTGGCTCTTAATATCTGTGAATTAACATCTGTGGGACAGATCTCGGGTATGGATGCTGGCCACACAAATGAGCCAGTTTGTATTTATGACTCACATGATCTCTTCCTCCCTGAGAGTCAAGGAAAGGCTAAATGCTACTGCAGGCGTGACAACACATCTTTTCCAAACTGTCCCAGGTTTGCACGATACAGCCATTCATCTTGCTTTGGGGGGAATAAAGAAAAACAGCAACAAAAAATGATGAGGAGAAGGTTCATTAATACAGTGTCTGTTTATCAGACTTTCTGGGACTTTTCCTGAAGTTCGCACCAGAAAAGAGGGATGTAGCCACCCCCCACAAGCTCTCAGCAGATTTTCCACGTTATCTTTCTGGAGGCAGAAGTACAACTGACACGAATTCTGATCCATTTTTATGGCAACATGCAGTACCTTTTTGCTAACCAAAGAACACATTTTTTCCCCCCTGTCCTACAGAAGTCTACGAGGTTCCTGAAGAAGAGGTAAGGCCTTTCTGTAGTTTTACTCGCATTGTCCTCAGGCAGGGCACAAATGTGATTGTAAAAAAAGATGATCAGCCTTTCGAAGGAGAAAAATGGGAACAAATCTCTGTCCGCAACTGAAACTTTCTGACACTTCCTTTGCAGAAAAGCTGGCAAACCAATTCAAAAGGTCTGCAGGAGAGAGTAAATGGGAAGGGGCTGAAGTTTCCCAGTCCTGTGAGACAGTGATCCTGTCTGGAAAGCAGCAGCCTAAGGGAATGCTTTCCACAAGCAGAACTGCAGCAAAGGAGCAATGACAGTTCTGACACAGTAATCTTCTTCCCACTTGCTGGTTACTGGCATGACATATGGCCAAAGCAGTGTGCTTAGGGCATCACAGATTTACCGGTGGTGACTTCTTGCCTCTTTCTCCCATCCTAGTGCAGATTACCAGGCAGAGTTCTACTAGAGATCTATACCACAATGCAAAAATAAGATATTGCTGTGCTAACATAAATAGGATCATACAAATGTATTTTATGAAATCAAAAACTGACCAAATAATTCAGTGCATTTTCTTTTATAGGAGAAACCATCACCACCACCGGTAACCAGGTAACCCATTGCTATGAATGTCAGTGAATTATTTAAAACCTGTCAGAAAATACAGTTTCTCTTCTAGATACTCTGTTTGATAATTCTCTCTCTAGAAGATACACATATAGTAATTTTCTCTCTTTAGATTATCTACACAAAGATTGTCATCCATTTCTATGTTAAATTCAACAACCCAAACATAACTCATTAAAAAGAAATACCTCTTAAGGGTAATTTTTAGAATGTTGAGGGGGCAGGGGAGGAGAAAGAGAGGCTGCCTTTGTATTCACTGTTGTTAAATGTAACTTTCCTTTCTTAATTCATGTTTTATTACTAGGTTCACTAAGCCACTTCTGCCTATGCCTGCTCAGAATACGGAGCACTCCCACATGCACAGCATGACCAGAGAGCCACCTAAGCTAGATACTTCCAGGTAAGTCAACAGCAGCTTGTATCAATAGGAAATATTAGCAGACAAAATTCTCTCCTCTCCGTTGTTTAACCTTCAGACAACAAGCAATTGTCAGGACACACAAATAGCTAGGGATGTTGGGTCAAGGCAAGAATTACAGAATCACAGAATCATTAAGGT